TCTATATTTTAATTTTATACAACTACTAAATTACAATAGACTTTTAGTAACATGGACAGAATTTATTGCAGTTCCCAGTTTCCATTTATGATTTATACTTTGCTAATTATGGTTATTGATATTTATGCTTTGCTTAGAGCTGAATAACAATTTTCAAGGTTTATATATATATACAGGTGAAATTCGAAAAATTAGAATATCATGCAAATGTTCATTTACCTTCAGCTCCGCTGCATTGTTCGGTCTCATGTCCCTCATCTTTCTCTTGGCAATGCCCCATAGATTCTCTATGGGGTTCAGGTCAGGTGAGTTTGCTGGCCAATCAAGCACAGTAATAGTGGGACACTTTGAGCCTAGAATATTGAACCTTTTCACACTATTCTAATTTTCTGAGAAGTGGGACACTTTGAGCCTAGAATATTGAACCTTTTCACACTATTCTAATTTTCTGAGAAGTGGGACACTTTGAGCCTAGAATATTGAACCTTTTCACACTATTCTAATTTTCTGAGAAGTGGGACACTTTGAGCCTAGAATATTGAACCTTTTCACACTATTCTAATTTTCTGAGAAGTGGGACACTTTGAGCCTAGAATATTGAACCTTTTCACACTATTCTAATTTTCTGAGAAGTGGGACACTTTGAGCCTAGAATATTGAACCTTTTCACACTATTCTAATTTTCTGAGAAGTGGGACACTTTGAGCCTAGAATATTGAACCTTTTCACACTATTCTAATTTTCTGAGAAGTGGGACACTTTGAGCCTAGAATATTGAACCTTTTCACACTATTCTAATTTTCTGAGAAGTGGGACACTTTGAGCCTAGAATATTGAACCTTTTCACACTATTCTAATTTTCTGAGAATAAATGAACATTTGCACGATATTCTAATTTTTCGAGTTTCACCTGTATATTAAAGTAGGAAAAAAGAGCGAGTGAGACAGATGTGTGGATGAGACATCAAATCACAGAGTTGAAAGAGCCCTCTGGTCAGTGCAGGAACCCACATGAAGGCATCTCCCCACCAATGGCGGTTTAGCTCCTGCGGGAATGCATCTGGTGAAGGGAACCCACCACCTCTCCAGGCAATGAGTTCCATTGTTTGAACAATTAGGACTTTCCCCCCCTAATTCTATGTCCAGCACTCAAGAACAATGAGGAGCATGTCTTAAACTTCTGTATTGCATCCTTTCAGGTATTGAAAAAGTTCTATCGTATGCCTCCTTGGTCTTCTTAAAGATAAACATTCAAAGTCCTTAATTCTTCCTTCATAGAACTATTTCTTGGAATTTCTAAACCCCAAATCATCCTAATTTCTCTTCATTCATCCTTCCAAGTCATTCACTTCCATCATACTTTCTGTCTTCAGTCCTTCCCCCACGAACTTGGAAGACTAAATGAGAAGACCAGTTCAACCTCCCAAGTTCTCAAGCATTTCAAAGTTTCTGATAATATAGCTGTTTTTTGCAGTATTGTTGGAAAGGATCGTTTTTAGTGAAAAATCTTGGAAATTGTTCTGTTGCATTTTTGATCCTGGATTCTTGCAGGTATCACACTTTACAACGTGTGAAGTCAGCACACGTTTGTTTTGATTCCTTGTAGTAATCACACCTACTATGGCCATTCCCTTTGTATTTTTGGCAGAATGCAGATGCAGCTCTTCTGCCCTTCAGGGAGCCACTGTTCTGTCTGCAGAGCCTTTTTTCCCCATCCCCGAAGGCTCAACACCTGCTTGTTTTCTGGGAACTTGAAAATGATTCAGATATCTTCCATCTCTGCTCCTGGGAGTCACTTTCATCTGCTAGTTTGCTCACTTGCTTGATTCTCTTCCTTATGAAAAGTTGTTTCTTCTGTCAGTTTCTGTGATAGTTAATTGTTCAGTTGATCTGATAACTCTTCATCCTCAGATGAAGGCTGGCTGCTTACTGCTCCAGTCCTTTGCCTTTTCCTTCAAAGCTCTCTACAGATTTGCACTTACTGCACGTGTTTACACGGTTGTTTTCAGGCAGGAAAGAAGCATCAACATTTACTTGAAAACCTGCAAGTTACTGTATCTAAAAACACTCACTGTCCCCAAATTGAGAAAATAATTTTTTAGGGCTAGGCATAATATTCTCCTTTTGCACTTTTTCAGGGTAGATACTCTAAAATGCATTGGTTGAGTGTGCTTGCCTGTGTGAATCTGGGGAAACGGAAGGAATTCAACTTATTCTATTATACTGTATTTTCTATAGGGATCTCTGGAAGAGTTATATTTTGCCCCTTGTACATCATGGAAGAACAGATGAGTTTTATGTTAAGCTATTACTTTCAAACATGAAACATTTCATCCTGCTTGGCAGCCAAATAGTGTGTAGCTGGGATGAAAACAAGGCAGCAGATGATGACTAAACATTGTTTTGTTGGTGAATATGTTTTTGTAGTTTTGCTGATCATTAATTGTACATTTGAATGACTCATGAACCTTCACGCCACAAGGTTCATGAGTCATAACTGGAGAGTCCTGCCACTTTATCTTAGCTTATTTTTTAAAGGTTTCATCGGTAAAATGAGTTGGTCTCTTTTATTCTGAGACTCAAGTGTTCATTGTCCTCATAAATGGAAAGCTTGTCAGGACCCCCGCCCCCAAACTCTACTGGCAAACTCCCATTTGCTCTCCCACTTTTTTTTTTTCAATCATGACCTTCAGCTATTCAGGTCCCTCTAAAGCACTTTTATGTGATCTGAATTTGCTGTTGAATTATATTTTATTGTCCCCCCCATTTTTTTTTTTGCATCAGTGTATATTGTATTATTTTTATGGATGTAAATTGTCAGATTAAATCTTATTGAGGCTTGTAAAGTAAAGGGGAACTTGACTTATTTATAATACCCCGTTTTTCCCAGAGAATATCCTGACCATTTATTTTGCAAGCGAAGCTTTGAGAATCTTCCTATGCAGCAGTTGGAGGCAACAGATGAAGATGACCTCAGAAGTTCAAATTACAGCATGAAGTTCTTACAGCCTTCATTCGAGGCCGACAGGTTGGTTTGTAAAATCTCTTGTACGTTTATAGTGACAAGGGGAGAAGAGGAATTGTTTCATTGAAGAGTGTAATTCTTACATTTTCATTCATGTATCATTGGAAATGTTGATAAGATTTTTTTCCCCTTTTTTCCAGATCCTGGATGACACGCTTACTATCTTTGTATGATACACACCCCCACAATTATTTTCCACATTTGTTTACTGATGTTGAGTTGCCTTGGTATCAGTATCTTATGCACTTAGAACCTCTTAACTCTAAGACTTTGGAAACTTCTGGAGCCTCCCTCTTTCAAGATGTTGCATTTGTTCTTTCAAGCTCCAGAGGGAAAGATAATAAAAGCACTAGAGACAGACAATGGAAGAATATGTATTTAGGTGACCTAGAAGAGTGTGTGAAACTTGACTGTAAACATGTGACAGGTTTTAATGCACTGTTCACTGTCTCAAGTGAAAGTGAAGGATTGACTCTTGTTTTCTGGGATTTCGTGACTCAGGACATCATACAATGTTATGTGGGCAAAAATTGTTTTTTTGTGGAATATACCAGAGAGGAACCACTATGGCTTATCCTTTCAGGTGAGCATCTTTGGTTTTAATTGCAAATAAACATTTTCTCTCTAGAAACCTTTCAAAGCTGAAGTTGCTTTCTCTACTATGTATTGACATCACTGAAAATGATTGCGTGGGAGCTGTGTTCAGGTCTGCTAGAACATCTTTTTTGTAGACAATGAGCAATGTGGCATGGAAATAACTTTTCTCTCTTTGTGATAATCCTTAGAGACTGGCCTCTTCTTGTTCCTGTTTGGCTTTACACAAGAGGAATTCTTGAACAGACTGATCATCTATGGAAACGCTGGCACTGTGGATTCTCTTTGCCACCTCAATAGATGGGGAAGGTGCTCCATTCCTGTACATGCCTTAGAGGTAAAGAAAGAAGCCTGGGGCCTTCTACATTTCCAGTGTGGGGAGTAGTAGTGTCTTGCTATTACTGAGGATTTTCTGGACTACTCCAACAATTTCCCTGGTGCTTATGAAGCTGTGACGTTTTGGTCATCTATTCTATAGTGGAAAGATTGATTCCCCACGCTTTTCGCTCTAGTTTAAATGGTACTCATCCAGGACTCAATATCTTCTGCTAACAGGACAAGAAATAGACTTGATTAATTGCAGCACAATTCTTCATCTTGTGAAGATCACTGTGGTTTTTTTTAAGTATTACCATTTATATTTTAGAGTCATATGCATATTAGGTGAACGTCCCCCTTCTCTTTCATCCCAATCATTTACAACCTGTGAAGAATCCTGAATCTTACATAAACCACTGATCCTTTCACTCCAGATTGCCCAGAAGTATTGCTTGTTCCCTGGTTACAGTCAATGTTAGTTACAAATCTATGTAAGAGTAAATTATAAATAACATTAAATGTATCTTTACAGAATGAATATGTTATTTAGCATAGATCATATTCATGGAGTGCGCAACTCCTCAAGAATAAAATTCCTGTGTAATTGGACAAAGATTTGTCTCAGTATTGTGACAGCCAGACCTCTGAGAAGAGCTCAGGAACTGAGAGGTACAATCCATGCCTTGATACTCAGTTGGACATTCAAGCCAGGTGCTGACTAAGAGGGATCAAAGCATTGATAGTGGATCTCTGTATAACAGTAATTATATTTTGATGTTTAGGCTGGTTTAGAGAACCGACAGCTGGACACCGTGGATTTTTTCCTAAAGAATAAAGAGAACCTTTTCAGTCTGTCTGCAGCATGCTCTATACAAGATCAGCCTGCAAATACGTCAGATTTTTACTTGAAGAGTAAGTAAAACTATATGAATGTTCACAGTGACATTTTATGAAATATAGTGGACATGAAAGAAGCGTCATTGAGTGAATGCCAAACAAGCTGCATTGAATGGAGAGGCTAGATCACTAGAAGGTGCTCAGGACGGATACCTGGGAATTAGTTGTCCATAGGTTTTCCATAGTCTAATGGAATAACTTGCGTATGTCTTCACATCACATTGAAGACAGATGCAAACTTGTGTGTTTCTTAAAGTGATATTCCCATTTTTCTTGGGTTTACCATTTTCTCCCACAGATGTCGAAGAGTTGAGGCCAGCATTGGATTTACTGTGTAAGGCAATTCAAGAAAACGATGTGGAAACCCAGAGCAAGCATTTCTCTGAGCAGCTGCTGAACCTCACCTTATCTTTCCTTAACAAACAACTCCGCGAGATTTTTATCCTCAGGGAAGGTAGAGTCAGTTTTATGTTACTTTTATTTTACTTGAATTGGTATCTCTGTACCATCAGTGAACAATAAAATTTCTGTTTCCTGAATGGGTTTATTTACAAATGTTGTGCTCCTTAACTTATCAGAAGAAAGTTGAAAATAGGGCAGCATGCAGGTTTCCCCTTAATGAGTAGGTAGGTATTAAGTGTCTGAAGATGTATTATGGGGCTTTGCAATACAGTACCTGTGACACCATTAGATGGTGTCCACTAACTCCCACTTTTTATTGGTTATAGCATTTTATTTATTGGCTGGCTGGCTGAAATCTTGCAGGATCACCATGATTTCCCCAGATTTCAGCCATGTATAATTTATTAAAAGTTTTTATATTTCACTTCTCTAAAATAGATGGATGGATTAGTGTGATAGTAGTGCCAGCCACCTGAAAAGGCCACTTGTTCCTGTTTTAATTTTTGGAAACATGCTTTTTCTAACAATTGTTATTATTTTCCATTTTCTTTGCACACCAAAGAAAGTTCAGAGTAGCACACAAAAACAGTATTAAAAACCTGCAGTTACACTATCAAGTCTATACAAAGTTAAAAAAAATAGTATTAAATGCTTTTTTTAAAAGTCTGTCTAAAAAAATAAAATAGCTCTGGCTTCTAGAGTTACTTCATCCAGCAACTATCTGAGTGAATAATCATGTCTAGATTCTAAATGATTTCCTCCAGAATGTTCATGTTGGTACTGAAGAACAGGGAGAAAGAATGGAACTCTGGCCGACTGTATAGCCCAAACTTCATATAGGACAAACAGAAATTCCTCCTCTGATAGTCTTGAGTGCTGATCCTAAAGATAGGAATGAACTACCCTCACGTAATGTCCCCAGTTCCCAAGGATTCCACAAGTATCTTATGATCACTGGGATGAAGGGTTGTTGAAAAATCCAGTAGAATCAGTCCTGTAGCTTTTTCTCTCTCCTTATAGGACCATCAGTCAGGACCAATAAGGCTGCTTCAGTGATAGAAGTAGGCCTGACCCAGACTGAAAAGGATTCAGATTGGTTTCTTTCAAGCATGTATGTAGTTAGCCAGGCATCACCTTTCCCCAAAATGGGAAGTTGCTGCTCTGAAACCGCAGAGTCCCTGAACAACCTCTACAGAAGAGAGCACACTACCCCACTCTCCAAGGAGTGGGCATTACTCCCTCGCATTAAATGCTTCCTGTAGCCACCCAGACCAATCTTCCCTGCTAGCTGTTACCAGCTAAGATGGGCAAGGATCTAGGGAGCACCTCATTGGCCGACTCTACTGTGCTGTCCTCAAGCTGCAGCATCCCATCCCTTTTGACTGCTACCAGCAGCCCAAGTCCAGTGTTCTTCCTATGTGTCTTCTCAATGCGAACAGAGTGGCGGGATGGCTTTGCGGTGGTTGTGGGGGATAACCATGCAGCCTTTATGGTTGCCAGTCTCCCCAGGCAACCCTTTGGTAGCTTTACCTGATGGTCTTCCTGATGCTCTTCACAGAATTGGATGAAAATATGGTCCAGTGCGTTGACATTTTCACCAGCTACATTACCAAGCTTAGGACATTTATGATAAGGTTCCCTCATAAGCCATCTGGTGTCGTCAGTCAGCCCTGGGATTCTGAAGATAACCTTCCCACAATGGAGCAAAGCCAGATGTGGGAAAAATTTGATACAGAGGTAAGCAGAATATAGCTTGAATATCAGAATATATAGCTCCACAAATTTCACCCATGATATCATTTTAATTTATTAAACAATTTCCTTGCTACTTCTGCAGAGCAAATTGGAGCCGCTCGCAGAGCCTAGTCTAGGTTCAGCATCTGAAAGTAATTGATTTCAGTGCGAAGGAGCGAAGTCGGGATGTAATTATTTTAGCAAGAGAGCATTTGTGTGTGTGTGTGTGTGTGTGTGTGTGTGTGTGTGTGTGTGATACAGCTATGAAAAAATCCTGGTTCCTGTTGAAGCCATTTGGAAAGGGACTGCTGGTAACTCTGTAATACACACGTACAAATGTGGTCATTGTTTCACAGAAGAAAATAATTAGGCTGGAAGAGAGCGCAGGAAGGGCTCTGGGTTCATAGGCTGGGTCATCTTCCTTCAGCAGTACTCAACTCGGAGACATCCTCCGAAATGGAGGGCAAGGGGCGAAGGGAAGTGCTTTCTACACAAACCTGAATCAGTTCATGGAATTTACTGTCAGGTGATATTTTCATGATAAGGATTTTTAAAAATGGTGGCAGCAGTTTTATAGAGGAGAGGTCAGTTAATGGCTTCTCTTTAATCAGATTGGTTCAATAGCCTCTATGGATTCAGAGCGTCTTAGCTGCTGAATAATGAGATATGAACTTGTGGTCTTTAGCTCTATGTTGTGGGCTTGGCCATCTGATTAGCTAGTAACTCCCATGCTTTCTGGAACACACCACCACTACCACCACCAAAGTGTGATCACTCAGCCATGTCTGGACTTAATGGAACATTACCCTGATCAGCTTTTTTGAAGTTGTAATGATGGAGTACTCACCTTCAATTGGATTTGTGCCCCTTTGCTTTGACCTAGCATTCCTCTATTCCACACACCCACACCGACTTCCCTTGGCCATCCCTAACCTTCCAAGAAAGAATACGAAACTCAGGGTGGGTAGAGGGTCTCCTAAGACAGCTCTTGAAATTGCTCATCATTTTAATTTTCCAGCAAGCTGTTACTGAAGCCCTTTTAAGCAACAGACTGCCGGAGGCACAAACCTTTTTCCGCCTGACTTGCAACCCTGCCCAGAATCTTGGGCAGCTGACCCAAATAGGCCTGGAGGCGGCTTATAAAAGCCTCTTGAAGGGTGACACAAATGAAGCTTCTGAACTTCTAAGAAACATGGTGAGTAATGCTACACCCGCCACAGAGCTCCATCTGTAATGTTTGCTCCAGGGTATTTCTGTGTACAGGGATTCTATCTTCACATCCTGAGCAAAACTGTAGGCTAAGACCATTGTTTCTCCCGTGTTCTTCTGTGTTAGGCTTAAAGTGGGAACAGATGATCCCTGACCCTTAGGGACATTTCTGCCTTCCTGACCCCATTTATTGACCACATGCACTAAGAAGCCATGGCCAAGTCCTCAGATCCTTTGCAAATACATACCCTTTCATGCCAGTACAGAGAACTATGTACATTTTTTGCAAACTTTTCTGCAGGAGAATTTCTTTTTCCTTTTGGTAGGGCCTCAGCGTGAAGCAGCAACTACACAAAATATGTTTCTATACAACAGATTATCATGTCCGGGACTTCTTGGTAAGTTTAGTAAAGCATCTTTGTACATGAAATGATTTCAATTCATTGTGTTTTTCCCAATGTATTCTGCTAGCCTCCTCAGATTATTCATTTTTACCCAAATCTCAGAAATGGATTCCAGCATTAATAGCTGAAAGTGGAAATTCAGCTGCAGTGACACTGTTTTCTGATCTTATGTAAGGGAGCAGCACTTCCATGGTTTATAATGTTGCCCCTTTATTCCCCACCGTGTTCAAAATTTGATTGAAAAGAAACTTGAAAATGTGCGTGTCTAGCGGATGGAGAAGAAACAAGCCAAAATTTTGTTTTGACTCTGAAGGTGAATATGCTGCAAGAAGAAGAGATCCTTTCCGAAGCCGAGAAGGAAACGATAGGCTTTGTGCATCGGGTAGAACATGCTTATTCAGGCACCTTACAGAGGGAGGAAAGGAGGGCAGCCTGTTGCAGGTAATGCATCTTCAGTTCAGTCACAGGCAGAGAACAACTCTGGGATGAGCTGAACACCTAGCCCGGGAGCAGACAAAAACGAGCTGATGTTGTGTCTTGCTTTGTCCACTGAGGACCTTTTTATGCTGTGGGGAAAGCGAGATCAGTGAGCTGCTGGCGATTCCAGAGTAAATCTGATGTGTATTTGCTAGTGAATACAGATTCATTCTGTTGTTTGGCTTTGAATGATCATGTTTTGGAAAGAGTAAATATATTTGTTTCAAGGAAATACTTGATTATCGGTTCTAGATCTTGGAGAAAAGAACCAGACTGTGTCGATGCTGCTGTGTTGGATGCCTTTTTGAATTGCGGTCAAGATAGAATTCATAACAGGGAGCACAGAGTAATATTAAACTGGGGTCAGTGGTGGAATCCATCTGCACGAGAAAGGATTCTTCTCCCTGTGAGATCTCAGGAAGGTGGCAAGTATTTGCTATTGTGGGAGTGTGGAATTGTGGCTTTGGAGACACTGGGTTACGTGAAGGGTGGGCAGCTTGTGGCTGGCATGGAAACCTCAACTCCCTTATCTGTGCCCCCCAGACCCACCTTCAAGTGGGCACGGCAACTCTCGGGCCTTTTTTGGCATTTTTATGGGGTTAGGAGCGAAACTGACCCATTAAGACCTTGCAGCCCATCCCAGAAATCAATCTGAATTTTCCTGTTTGGGGGTGGATTTAAGATGGGGCTTAAAAGAGCCCTCAAGTTGCCCCCCATATACAAGGAGCAGGAGGAGGACTTTCATCATTGTGGATGTTTTGATGGGGAAGCGAAGAAAAAGGTTGAATAAGGAAAATAAGTTTTCCAAATTGTTTCAGATCAATGCACGCACACACACACACGCGCACATACACCCCATTTAGCTTCCTGGAAGCTTGTCTTTTGGAAGTTAGTTTTAGAAAATGTAACTGTCTTATCAGTGCATTTATTTCACTTTGCAACAGTCAAAGCTTAGCCATAATGAAGAACAGAAGACAAATCAGCACATTTTTAAAATCTATAAACATAAGGATCTGTCCCGTAAATCTCTCGTAGCAGCACAGCGGGAGCAAGGACATTGGGGGCATCTGGCCAAAAATGAGAGATGTGAGGCACGGGGAAGTCTCCAGTGGCTTTATCTCAGCAGCAGATGGGATGTGGGGAACAGGGGAGAGCAGGTTGGCTGGGTAGGAGCGAATTGGCCCGGGCTCTTCTGCTAGTTCACTTCCCACTAATAGTAGCTCCAGCTTGAGTGTTCTCTGCAATGGTCACATTGGCCAGGGGATTCTGGGAGCTGAATGCCCCCTAACTGGAAGGCACCCAACTTGAGGAAGCCCACCCTAGATGTATGCATAGCTCCTAGTGTCTACCCAGTGTTTGTATTTAACTATATATATTAATTTCTTTAAAAATTAGAATTTACGTTCTGTAATCCTGAGGTCCTCTGGCTGTATTTATCGTCTTGGCATGATTGGGTAAATATTAGTTCGTGGATTGCCGAATCTCAGCCACAAGACAACGTCACAAACTGGCCGCCTCTCCCTTTAGAAGCCATTGGACAAAGTGCGTTATGCAGCCGTTACTTGCGAAACGAAGTGTTGGACATCCTAGCCAGGTATGAGCCTTGGCAATATGATTATCAATTTCCATCCAGTTTTAAACACTGTTTTAAAAGAAAAGGCTGCTTAGCAGTTTTGGGAAAGATCACTGCTGTTTCTGCATGAAACCGTTGCTTTGCTTTTTCTTGACAGAAAGGGGACTTTCGTGCCAGCAGAGCTAGAAGACTTTGAAGGCCTTCTGCAAAGACTGGCTTGTGCTGGAGGAGTGATGCAGGACCCACACCCTGTCCTGGACTACGTGTCTGCTGGCGGCTTTGATTTTCACGCGTGCTTTATCCTTTATTGCTTAGAACGGGGGCTGGATCCTCTTCTCTACACCTACTTAGATTACTATCGGTAGGTAGGCATGGCCACAGACAATTTCTGCGAAGGCATTTAGAGGGTATGGATAGCAGCAGCCAGAGCAGCAGATGCTGTGAAGGGTGGCCCTTCAAAGGCTGCTCAGGGAATTATTAAAAATAATTCCAAGTATGTTACTTATGAACTAGACCTAGTGTTTTCTTCTTTTCTGCAATGGTCCCCATTATGCTTTGTAGAAGAAACAGGTTTTGCTTTGCACTTGGCAGCCGGAGCCTTGATCTAAGGGAATGAGAGAGCTTTTCTGGTGGGGTCGTGGTAACAGGCAGTCCCCAGCCCCAAGAAGGTCCTTCCCCTCCAATCTCCTCCTGCCATGGCGCTGTCAGGAGGCAGGATGATTTTCTCACAGTGCAGCTGACTGTTGAGCCCAAATGATTGGATTGGCTCATATCTGGGCAGGAGAGAGGGTGCTTGCTTTGCCATTATAATTCTGTGAAATGTTGTTCTTGATTTTTCAGTTTGTTTTCTTCAGACTGTCCCATTCTGAGTGACAAAGAGCTGCATGAAGCACACCCTTGGTTTGAATTTTTAGTGCAGTGTCGAGACATTGCCAACAACCCTAGAGGTAGGCGGTGTCTTTGCATCTTGTCTAGACAAGTGTTTGTAGAACAGCATTGCAGATGTTCCAGGTGCCGTTGCAATCCTTGGCCTTGCTTTGTAACGCTGTTTGGCCATTATGGGCAGAAAGACGTCACTAGCTTCACCTGATGTGCTGGTGCCTTCCATTTCAGAGAAAGAGAGGCCTGTCCGCTCTCTCACAGTCTCTGGTGACCTCTTGGATTGTAGTCTGCCATCTTGACCTGCTTTTGAAGTGGGCTTGAAAGTTGCAGAATAGAACAGGCTTGGGGTTCAGGGAATCAAATCTCCCTTGTGCTTCAGTGGGTTTTCAACTCTCCTTGGTTTCTGGATCAAACTGATTTTGACATGCAAAGCTATAGGTAAGCCCTGTGGCCCTTTTTCAGGCCAAGGACTCTATTCCACTCGAGTGGCTGGCCAGTGGGCTGCGCGCCAAAAAAGTAGGTGGAGTCAGGACCAAACGCCCAAGCGTCCATGCTTCAGTCTTGCAGGCTACAATCCAAGAGATCGCCAGACCTGGAGAGAGAGTGGACCAGTCTCTCTTTTTCCAAAAGGGAAATCTAAAATACAACTAATATGCGTTTGTTTCTCTGGGTTCAATAATTTCCCTCTTCTGTCAGATTTAAAGATACAATGTGGGGCGTAACTTTTAGAGCAGCTCTGGGGGTGGAGAGGGGACACACTCAGGGTTTTGGGTAGGCTGCCTATATTGATTGATTGATTGATTGATTGATTGATTGATTCTATTTATATAGCCGCCCATCTCACATAAAAGTGACTCTGGGCAGCATGCAACAATTAAAAAGAATGAATACATAAAAAACAATCACAAGTAAAAATAACTATAACCGCACGTGCTGCTGCCTGTGGCGCTGTCCTGCTGTCAGAGACCTCCAACGGACAGCCTCAGAAGTTCCAGGTACCTTCTCTCTTTGCCATGAATGAGCAGGGCGTAACCCTTGGTGGGACTCACTTGCCCACAGATCTGACCCACACTTTTGCACGTCCCTCTAGACGAGACCTTTGAGAGGGAGAAAAATTGCTTGGGTCATGGATGGGACCTTTGGAAATACATACTAGAATTGTGTATGTGCGTGTTTAAAGCAGTTATTTTAAAACCAGTTTTGGTTACCTTGTTGACTATTCTCAGTCTGTTTTGTATGAAATTCTCTTATGGATAACGCACCATTTGTTTCATCTCTTCTGTCCTTGCAACCCTGCCCCAGAGGCGAAAATGATTTTTCAGGCTAGCCTAGCAAATGCCCAGATCTTGATTCCCAGCAACCAGGCCAGTGTGAGCACCATGCTGCTGGAGGGACGAACTCTTCTTGCCCTTGCTACCACAATGTTCGCCGGGGGAGGTATTGACCAGGTATGCCAAGTGCAGAAGGCTTGCAAGCAGGCCTGCTCCTCTGCAAAGAGGCTAAAAGCATCAGAAAGAGAGGAGGGCCTAAGCTCTACCTCACCCAACATCCCATATCCCAACCACAAGCCAGCTATGTTGGCCTAGCCCCCTGCTGGAAGAACAGAAAGGTCAGCCAGTGGGCTGCCTCAAAGGATTGGAATACGGTGTGCCAGTAAATCATTTTTGCAAGTAGATTTAGATGGTTTTTCTATTGTAGATTGTTCAGAAAGGAGATGGAAGAGAGAAGGTGGATGCCCAGCTCTTCAGGATGGCCCTTGCTCCTTACCCCAAGCTTAGAGCTGCCCTCTTCCCTCAGATCACTCCTCATGGAATCGTACCTTCCGATCTTTCTCTCTACCACCTTATTCAGGTAGGACTCGATGCCACCAGAAAATGTGGGGCACTGCAGTGGACGACTCTAGTTCAGGCAGGCCCAATATCCCAGCAGCGTCTCTGGAAAGAGAGCTGCTGTGGGAAATGGAAGACTTCCCCCATGCAGGATGCTGGAGTAGCCTCTGAAACAGAGCCCACTTTGGGGCCATCTTGTAAGCAGTGCAAACTTGGGATTGCAAAGCTTCCGTTCCCCAACCCTGCAGTTCTGTAAGCAGGCAGTCCCAGGAGAAAGCTAAGGGGGGCATTCCTTAGGCACCCTAGATGGGGCCCACTTCAGATCACTCCTGTGATCCACTTAGGGATGCCGGCGGCTTGCTGACGCATCCTTCCTCCTGGAAGGCTTCCATCTGGCCCTGCCTCCTTCCCTCTGTGCTTCCCCACCATTATTGGATGGTTCTCCAGCCTCTTTGATGGTGCCCCACTCCTTGTGGGACCCGCCCTGTTTATAACAGCAAAGTCTGGGCAAACCTGAAAGCTTCACTGGGTTCTTTTGGATACCGGTCACCCTTGCTTTAGTAACTAGTTGCTTGACTTTCCCCAAAGATCCCTAATGTAAAAGGGTGATATATGTCGAAGCTTAGACCATTTCTCCATGTGATCCATATCACCTGCACTGATCCAGTGGCTCTCCAGGGCAGGAGGCTGTCATTTTTAGGTTGCTGTTTCCCCCCAAAATCTGTAGATGCAGACCCTTGAATTGGGGCCTTTTTGTACACCAGGGCCCCGCAATTGAAAAACACTCTTGCGCTTCTGTGTCTGATGCGCGCAAACTAGGCTGGCTCCAGATTTGACATGCAGACAGTTTAGTCACAAACTCTGCAATGGTTGCAGGACTCCCTGAGCAGTACATGCTTGAGCCCCCTGAAATTAACCTGCTCTGATATAAGCTAAATCTAATCTAAAATTAATCTAAAATTAATGTTTTACTTTTTTAGTCCTTAGTTCCATTTGATTCCACTAAGTTGTTTGGCTGGCAGTCAGCAAATACACTTGCCATTCCTGGTAAGTAAACTTTCATGTACAGTGGTAGTAGGTGAAATTCTCAGAACCAAATGATGCTAAGAAATTTGACCTCAGACAAAATGTCTGGTCTTATTGGGGCCCATTGGATTTTAAACCCAGGTTGGTGTATGAGCCTAGTTTGCTTGAAGCCTGCCTCCTTGTCTAATAGATGAAAATTAGGGTTAGAAACCTGGGGTTGAGGCGGCTTTCTTTTGGGAGGGAAGGAGAGAAGAAAGAGGGTAAGAAAAGGTGGGGGGGGTATTCACGTTTGGCTTGGCTGTGCTTATATTTCCCCTCAGTATGTTCACCCACCACCCTCAGCATATCAGGACAAGTGGGAGGTGCGTGCACACACCCCTCCCCCAGAGAAACTAGGACATTGTGGGGGAGATGGGCGGGGGAGAAATCCAATCCAACATTGCTGAAGGAAATGAAATGAAAAATATGTTAATATAAATGCTAATGCTAGGTTAAACGTGGACTGAATAACATGACTGTTCATAGACAACTGACTTAAGAATTGTACTCAAAAAGTGCTTATGAGTAGTTCTTTATCCAAGTGAATAGTTTAGGGTGCCCTAAGGATAATTCCTGGGTCCTTTACTCTTCAGCATTTTTTTTTATTACTTGGACGATGAAGTGAAAGGAATGCGAATCAGATTAGCAGTTGACACAAAACTGGGTGGGATAGCTGATACCCTAGAAGTCACAAACACATTCAAAATTATTTTGAAAGGTTAGGAAACAGGCTGAAAGTTTCAGAATGAAATTTAACAGAGACCTTGCTCATAATTTAGGAAACAAAAAGAACATCCATAGATTTAGGATGGTGAATACCTGGCTTGGCAATGTTACTTGTGACAATATCTGGAATAGTACTTGATAGCAAAATGAATATGAGCCAGCAAAGAACTACAAGAAAGGCAAACACAATTGTAGGCTGCATGTACAGAAATATAATTTCCAAATCAAGTAGTTATTCAAATTTATTTTGTTTTGGTCAGGCTCCCTCCTTGATTACAGTATCAGTTTCTGGGCACCACTCTTTTAAGAAGGATTCAGAGGTATTGGAACAGTTCAGGGAGGGCAATGAAGATGATCAGGGGAATTAAAAATTTAAATCCTGTGACGAGAGATTGAGGCAGATGGATGTGTTCAAGCTTTGAGAAGGGGAGCATGATAAGACTCTTGAAAGAATGCTACACAGAAGAAGTTCAAGATCTGTTCTTTAACATAGCAGTACACAGGACTTGGAATAAGGAGTTTGAGTAATAGGAAGGAAGATTCTGGCTGAATGGTGGATAAGACTTCCTGATAAAGCAGTTCAACAGGGAAACCAATGAAACAGAGAAGTGGTGGGCTCCCACTCACTGGATGTGTTCCAGAAGTGGCTGGATACCCTTCTGTTAGGCATGTTTTAATTTGGATTCCTGCCCTGAGCGGGGGTGGGAGCTTGAAGACCTGAGTGGCCATTCCAAATTCAGGATTCTAATGTTTTCGTAAGGCTGACAACAGAGTGGCATATTCCACACTCTGGTAAGTGAAAGTCTTCTCATGGAATATTTCCACATTCACTGGGATTCTCAGTAACTTCCTTGATTTCAGCAACTGTGGGACAAAATATTGCAGAAACATCTGTATTTGCTCCATAGAGAGTAAAAGGCTTTACACAAATGCCTTCAGTAGACCTGACCAAGGGGAAATATCAGTGGCCAAATGTTAAACCCTGTTTCAGGCTCAAGAATTCCTATTTTGATGTTAACAGAAATAAGACAAAGCCAGCTTCTGCTGTGTTTTGTTTAGACTGCTTGCAGTTCTGCTCTTTTCTGCTTTTTCCAGATATTTGCAACGACCTGCCTCACTTCTCATGCTTGACTCTTGTAAACAAGCATGCTATCATAGAACATCTTGATTTATCCTACTACTTATATCATGAGCGCCCCTCATTTGCTTTTGGGGCATTTTTAGCTCAGCAGTTATCAAAGAGCAACATCCCAAAGGAGCTGTAAGTATTTAAAAGAAACGTGAGTGACTCTATTAGAACAACCGCTGTTAGCATTATTCCATTATGAATGTTTATCTGCTAGGTTTTTCTCCTGGAGATCAGTGTAGCATGCCCTGCCCCCCTTCCTGCCTGTTCTGCTCCACAACAATCACTTGGTGGGACGGTTGGGCTGGGAGGGAGAGGCTGGCCCAGGGTCACCCAGGGAGCTGCTGTGGCTGAGAGAAGACTTGAACCTGGGTCTCCCAGGTCCTGGTCTATCCTCACACCAGTTATTATATTTATTGTGTTAACGCGAAGCACCATCTACTGATTTAAATACTTGTGACACTAAACAGTAGAAATGAATACAATAAGTATTACAGACATAAGTGGCCCAAAAAACACCCTCTGGGTAAGGGTTGAAGAGGCTGTTGTCTAAGCAACCCACAATGACAGAACGCCCCCTCCTCTCCGAAGAGACCTGCCTCCTCCCTGGACTATCCAAATGCCATGAGAAAGAGACCCAGAGAGCTCCTGCCCAAGGGCCACCATCTTAGTTCTGGAGGAAAACTGGTTCACGTGCTGGAATTCTTGTAACACTCCTACTTTCGTCTGAATGAAGCTGGCTGCTGAGAAGCTTTTGGAATTCATGCTTAGAGAGAAATCATGCCTTTTCTTTTCTAGGGTTCAGCAAGTGGGTAACGAAGCCTATTCCATGGCCCTCTCAGTTTTCTATGCACCTTCTCTCGCTGCAACCTCTGTCTGCTTTTTGGAAATGCTGGGCCTGGATAGCCTCAAACTCAGAGTGGATGTTAAAGCTGCCAATGTGATTTTGAGCTTCATGTCTAGAAAAGAGGAGCCACAGCACAACTCCATCAGACAGTCCTTGGGTAGTGTTTCCAATTATGTTTCCTGCCTTTGAATTTTATTCTCACGGGTACATAGCTTAATATTTTATAGAAATGCTGTGCGTAAGAAATCCATATCCATGGGGATGTCAGAATGGTATAGGAAAACATTCAAAGCAAAATCTGCTTTTATGCATCTTTCTATTTTAATTATTCTTGCTGATAAGGAGATGTCTAATTGATAAAAAAAAAAATCTGCTGAGTGAAGGTGGTGTCTGGAGGGCAGAGGGAATGGCCTTGAAGGACAGGAGGAAGAGCTACTATCATGGTCAGATAAGAGGGGCTTGAGCCCGGGCCAAGAAAGAAATCTGAGAAAACATCTCAGGCCCCTCCCTAGTTCACATGAAGATGAAGTGAGGGAGGGAGAAGCACATTCAGACTTGCAAGGTTCTGTAACTGTAGCTGTTACAGGAACAGTAGCCCAGAACCACTATATGGCAGTGGTTTCTTAGTGTGATCTACCATGTTGGGCTGACAGTGCCTCAGCAGAATGTTTTGCCTGTTCTGTTTTCAGTTGAAAAGCTAGCAGAACTGGCTGATGGAGAAAAAACCGCAGCAGAAGACCTTCTTGTCTGTTTAGAGGAAGCAGTTTGGGATAAGGTTGAACATCAAGAGACAAAGAAGTGAGTTTGTGATTCAAAGTTGTGTGGGTTGGTCCCAAGACAGTTGAGAGAGCAAGAAAGACCACTTGTCGTGTTTGATGGCTCCTGGAGATCATAAGTTGCCATGACGTATCAGACTATTAGGAATTCATTACACAGTCTGAGGTCTTACAGTACTTTTTGTGAAGGTGAAGAATTGGAATAATTGACACCAGTTTGGAATCTGTCTATATCCATGTGTTGATCCTTACCTAGAAACATTCTGGGGCCTGAAGCTGATGATCATGCGGGAGGGGGGAACACAGGAAGTGCCTTCTGTTTCACTGGAGTGTGTTGCTTAGTCTCAAGGCAAAAATAGCTTATCAGAGAGGTAACCAGGCAAGTAACTGCTGGCAGACTCAGCTCTTTTTACTACCCATTTATTGAGATGGTACATATGGATACAATCTATCCTGGCTCAGAAATTTCATGAAAACTGATGGAGGGACATATTTGGAATTTTAGGAACATTTATGGGTATACCAATGAACTGGTGGGCATCATGGGCAGGAACTAGGTGTTATTTCCTGCCAGCCCAGCTTACCTCCTGCCATTTCTCTCTGAAAGAGGTTAGCGGTAAAACTATGTACGCCCAGCTTATAGGGGAAATGAGGAATTCCTGAATCAGTTGTGGGAAGTGTTTGTGGAGGACAACAACACCCAGAAGAGATGAGAAAGCCAGATGGATGGGAAGAAGGAACGTGACAGAAAGCCCAGGCATGCCCAGAAGATACTCTAGAGTGACAGAAAAGAAGAATCTAGAAGCCTCCATGACTCAGGGGAAGACTCTACAGACTGTGCAAATAAAAGGATTCCTGCCTCTGCCCTGAAGGGATGAGGGATAATGACTGGGGACTCTCCACTGGGATCAAAACGGCCATCTGCCAGGAGAATGCTGCCTTCCTGGGGCTCACGTTCAGGGTGTGATGAAAAGGTGCCCCTTTAAGCCCTCTGACAAGTCTCTGTTCTTACAGCCCCACCCAGGAACATGCACCATAGCCAGGCACAACCCACAAAGGGCGATGAAGCGCTGGGCAGGAAGGTGAAGGAGCTGGAAGCACAGATGGTGGTTTCTTCACTCCTTCCATCCTGAAAAAGGGGGGAAAGGTACCCAAATAACTGTAGACCTGCTAGCAGAATGCTGATGATGGGCCAACCCTAGAAGAGATGAGTAAGCAGTCAGTTGGTGAGCATTGAGAGGAGAAGGCGTTGCTTGGATCAGATTCAGCTGAATTCAGGCAAGTCCTGCCAAGCCAACCTGATCTCCTGTTTTGACAGAACGACTGATTCACTGGAGCATTTGACAAGCCTCCCATAAGATCATAGCAGAGAAGACTGCAAAATATGGGCTGGATCAACCAGCTCTGTATCCATTAGATGGATACAGAGCTGGTTGAGCGAGTGTCTATCTGGCTTCACCTTCAAACCGGAAGGAGAGTTTGAGTGCTAGACTGCAGGATCCCATTCTAGGCCTGGTGCTGCTTTTAAGCAGCTTGAGTGAAGGGTTAGAAAGTACAACCACAACCAGGACTACTGAAACTACTGTCACTCAGCAGTGCAGTCATGTAATGCGGTGGAAATTCTGGTCCCAATTAGGGTCGTTAAGCGAGGACTACCTTATTTTCTTCACTTGCTGTTTTGTTACTCGTTGCTATAACTGCCAGCTAACAGTTTGAGGCATTAGAATCAATTAAAGAAGAAAGAAATCATGCTTGACCTGAACTTCCCCCTTGTTCACGGTCTAGAATACACAATAACTCGAAAATAAGGTCACGGGGCCCTTCCCCTGTGCCCTTGGCTCGCTTCCTAGATCTCGTTTGCTGAGGAGGATGAGAGCAGCGTGGGTTGCTGCCGGGCAGGGGAGGATGTGGACTGGGGGGTAAAGCGCTACAGGCCTCCTCCCTTTCAGGACATCCAGTGAGGCGAGGAAGCACTGGTCTCTGGTCGTCCAGTTTTGCCAGCTCCACAATATCAAGCTGAGCACATCGTACCTGAAAGCATGTGCGCGATCGAACGAATGGCTGCAGTTTGTTACTGAAGCGCAAATGCACGGCTACCAGCCAGCTGAGGTAAGAAGCTGCTGGACACTGAGGGGATACAGTCCTGTGAGATTTGGGCGGAAGATGGTTTTTGTAAAGAGAAAAGAGCATTATAATGCTGAGGAATAGTGAAGTCGCAGTGCTTTGTGGAGAGACTGAGGCAGAAAAGGGGGTGGTTGCTGTGAGAGAAAGCAGGCCTGCTTCGTTACGGCCCGTCCTGCTGCCTTCCAGGGGCCCTCCGGAGACTTAATTCTCCACAGCCAGGACCTGCGGCGTCCCGGGGATCCCCCCCGCCACCTCCTTCCTCTCCTGGGAGGGGTCGCCCCTTTCTTCGGCGAGGTGGGTCCTCGGTCAAGGCCTTACGGCCCTTCTGAGCTGCTTGCTCCCCTTCGGCGCCTGGACGTTGGCTTCCTTCCCTTTCCCAGGTGATCCCTCTTCTTCGGGACTTCCCCCTGCCCCTGCGGGACCACTTGAAGTTGGCCCTGGACAATTTGGAGCCTTTGGAGTTTCTGCCGGAAGGGCAGGGTGGCTTGCAGTGGCCTGAGCAGCAGCCCCATGACCTCTTCCGCCTCCTGCTCCAGAGCCGGGAGCAGCCGTGTCCTTGGCGGGGCCTTCTGTCCGCCTCGGTGAAGCACCACGCGCCCGTCCTGAGTGTGCTCGCTGCTTGCTTCCAGGTATGAGTTCTCCAGGAGAGCCTCCGCTCCCCCAAGAGAGGCTGACCATAGTTCAGTGCTCCTTGCAGGACAAAAAGGGGTGGAACGGGACCCTAGAAGAATGCAGGTGCCGTGCCTTGGGTGCAGGCTGGCTGTGGCAGTTTAGACTTTTGCATGTGTATTTTTCAGTACGGATAGCTTTCTGCTCTTTTAAAAAACTTTTTGCTTCTCCTCATTTCTTCCCCTTCACACATTGGGCAGGATGCCGGTATTCTCCATTGTCTCTGTGTTTGGATAATAACTTCCGTGGACAGTTCCACCACCACCGAGGTGATCAGCCACATTGAAGGCATAGTTGAAACCCACGAGTGGGGCCTTCCTGACTTGGCCATTCTCTGGCAGCAGCTGTTGAAGAGGCAAAAGGTCAGGACCCTTCTTCGTGGATTTCAGCTCTTCCTGAAGGTAAGCTGACAGTAGCCATTGTCCTGCCACTGAAGCGAGTGTCTCTGGTTGCTTGTCCCATGTTGTAGAGGGCCTGGGGAGGGAGGGCTTCTTCAAATGAGGAAGAGCCAGGATTCAAGACATGGGAGGGCCCTGAGACTGGATCCCCGCACCGTGCAAGAACCCAGATGGAAGTTTTCCTCCTACCAGATGGCTGCCCAAAGACATCTGGCAAAGGAGAGCACGCTCCCTCAGAAGTGGGATCCCTGCTTCAGATGATAAGAGGGTTCCTGCCCCGTCCATCTCTGCTGCGCACTCCGTCCAGTACTCATGTTTTCTCCTTCAAAGCATGCACAACCCACTCTGGGTAGAATTTTTGGAGAATTTTTACAATGTTTTTGTTTGTCTTCTGATATTAAGGATTCTCCTTTGCTGATAATGCTGGAAGTGTATGAACTGTGCATGGACTACAAAAATTACAGCAAAGCCAAGACCAAACTACTCACATTTCAAGCCAGTCTTTCAAAAGTAAGCAGAAATTTAATTTGCTCCTTGTGGCTTTTTAAAAACAGAACAAAGCAAACTTTTAATGACTGAGGCAGATTCCCCTTTTCATGCAAGAGGTGCTGACTCTGTCTTGAATGCTGCATGACGCATCGAGGCAGCCTGGCTCCCAGGCGATCGAAACTCCCTAGGACAATGGGCACTGCCAGGTTGACCCTTTCTTGGCTCCTGGACAGAGCTCTCCCTGAAGTTGTGCTGATGGAAAAAGGGGTCTTTTCAGCCCCTGTTGATGAGATCAAAGATGTGGGGCATTTTTCATGTCTGTTGCCTCAATGGTGGGGATGTCCTGTGCACATCTACTGGCTGTCATCTTGCATCGGGTGTCAGCATTGTGATCTTCGCAAGCAGTGCCGTCAGAGAGCTTGTATCAGCTCCATGCTCTCAGGCTTTCTGGCAGCCGAAGAAGAAAGGCAGCTATTCAGGCAAGGTCTTTTTTGTGTCACGTTAGTCCCACGCGGAGGCAAAGGAACATGGCCCATTTGTACTTGCCGATAGGCTAGGTAGGGAGGAGAACTGGTGTGAATGAGGAAGATGGATTTCGCTCCTGATGTTTGGGGGAGTTGAATAATTTGAGGGAAAGAATGGGATGAAGATGGCCTTTCTCGAGGTTTTTCTCGAGGGACAGGGATTGCTCAACAAGCCAGGTCTCAGTCAAAGGAGACGTCATCTGGCCACGTACATACATGAACTGCTTTGTGCATATCGTTTCCAGGGACCAAAACCTTTGCTGCTCGAGTAGCCACTCAAGTAGTTGGTTCAAGCAGTTTTAATTTGTACCAGAGCTGAAGAGGCCGGATTTTAAAGTCTTGAATGATGAAATATTGGTCTTCGTGCAGCTTCAGGTTCAGTATGAAAGGCTGCTGCCCGTCCTCCCGGTGCCCTGGCTGGAGTTGCAGGCCTCCTTCCTCCTCAAGCTGATGCTGCAGCAGTGCAGAACAGAGTACGAATTCAGGAAACTCCTCCAGCTGCTTGCAGATGCAGGAACTGCTCTTCTACATGGCAAGTGCATCTTCCCTTTCTTCTCTGTAGCTGCCATTTGCTCACACAGCTGGAGCTTTTGAATATGTCAGGTAGTCGTAAATTGCCCTGCTGATGGGCTTCCCACTGTGGCAGCTGGTAACCATTTTGGGGAACAGGATGCTGGACTTAGTGGGCCCCTTTGGCTGGTTTAGCTTCTCTGGCATTTTGATGTTAGGTCCTCTCCCAGCTGGTGGACCACAGCTGCAGAGGCCCTGTGTCCCAGACCGTCTCCGGGGATGGGCCTCCACATGAGGAGGGACTCAGGCAAGGGCCCCTTTGCTCCATTCTCATTGCTGAGTTACAGGCTACCCCACACCCTGTTGCTATCACTCTTCTTCGGTTTGGGTGCAGGGCCAGATATGAAGAAGCTGAGCGCCCTCAGTGCCATCCTGAAAGATTCATCCCTCTCAGTCAGTCGGGCTCTTCTAAGCAATTACAGCTTTGAGAAGTTTCAGAACGAGTGCCAAAGGATTCTGGAGCAGCTGCAGGAGAGCAGCTCTTTTTCCATGGCTCGTGATGTAGCAGAACTGGCAGCGCTGCCTGTAGACAACGTTGTTATTCAGGAGGTACACTGGAGTTAAGGCTTTTTAATTTCTGTTCTGGTTCATTGTGTTCCATTTCTGTCTACTGCAAAATTTATGTCATCCATATCAGCTGTTGGAGGGGGCTTCCCCCTTCCCACATCAGGTGCAGCTTTATGCACGGATCTGAAAGGGCGGAGTAGGCAGTCTGGTTTCTCTGGATTGTTTGGGACCTACCACCCCCTGTCAGCCTGAGGCAGCCTGACCTTTGAAAGCAGTGGTGGGAGTTGTGCCCCCCAATCTCCAGAGTTCACTGAATCTCTGCCAGGAAGAGGAAGTGAATAGCAAGCGCAGGGGATCCCACAAGGGGTGAAAGCCATCCATTGAGTAATGAGATTGTATATGTCACACAAGCACTCGAGCTCTCTCACTCTCTCATTTCTGCGCAGTAAATTTCCTTTGGTTCTCATTGTTGTTTGTGTACTTTTCAGGCACTTCAAAACATCAACCTCCTGAAACAGATTGGCCATTGGACTCAAAAACGGACAAGGATTGAGTTCTGGAAAAAGTGCCATGAGAACTACGTGCAAAATGCCATCTCTAATCAAGCTGCCTCCAGCTTCTTCTCAACTCAGGCAGATTTCGTGTCTGAGGGCCTGGAGGACGAGAAGGCATCTGGCATCTTAGAGAGGCAACTCCTGCTTGCTTTAGCTGGACACTGGCTGGTCAAAAATGACCCAATTCCTCTTGATGATCTGGAAAAGATAGAGAAGGAAATTTGGCTGTGCCACATCACACGACAAACGTTAAACCAAGGCACAGGGCAGATCGAGTCCAGAGTTTCTCACCAGATTTCCATAAGTAGCGAGCTGTCCTTTGACTCCTTAGCCAAGGAATTCTCCTTTTCTAAGGTTGCTGCTTTGAACATTCCTAAGTATCTGGAGCTTGGAGGTTTCCCTTCCCAGGATATATCCCAAATGATGCTTTCTGAAGCTGAAGTGGCATCACTGAGTTTTCTGGTTGGACGTCTTCTAGACGAAGGAAGTGTACATGAAGCTGCCCGGGTTTGCCGATATTTTAACTTCTACAGCAGAGATGTCTCACTGATCTTGCATTGCAGAACACTGGCCTTAGGAGAGGTCTCTCAAAACTGCTTCCATCCAGAGATCCAGGCTCTCCTGGCAGCTGAAAGAATAGAGGAAAGCAAGAGGAACAGAGAAGCAGAGCCTGAAAGAAACCGGTTGAAGAGCTGTAAGTTGCACTCACCATGAAACATCTGAGCTAGACCAAAGCCTCTCTCAAGGCCTACATGCTCCTTCCTTATAGCACATTTCCTTTTCTTTGCTAGTCTCCTTCTATAATTGAGCAGGGTGAGCAGTGGGAGTTGGGTTTTGCCACTGGCCATTTCTACAGGGGATGTAGGTCTGCTGTTTAAATTTTGCCCTTCTGACATTTCAAAATCAGTAGAGGTAGTTCTTGACTTATGACCGTTTGTTCAGCAACTGTTCGAAGTTACAACAGCACTGAACGAGTGGTGGTTATGACGGGCCATGGAGTTCTGGCTGTTCCAGCATCCCCGCAGTCACGTGATCATGATCTGGGCACTTGGCAACCGGCTCCCACTTAACAACTGGTTGCAGCACTGCAATCACATATTACCATTTGCAACTTTCCCTGCCGGCTTCCCCAGAAAGTCAGTGGGGAAGCCAGCAGGGAAGGCTGAAAGTCACTGGAGTGTCTTCCCCACCCACGCACCCTTTCCCAGCACCCTCTCCCAGCCCCTCTGCGCTTGTGCTGTGCTGGCCACTTGCGTACTCCCATGCACCCTCCCCAAGCCTCACTGTGCCTCCCTTGCACACATCTGTACACGCTCGGATACCCTCCCCGGCCCTCACTGTGCCACCCTCACACCCTTGCACACACTCATGCACACTTGTGCGCCCTCCCTGACCCTCGCAGAGCCTCCATCACACATGCTCCCATCTGGCAGCAGCCACTTACCTCCTGCCAGCTTCCCCTCTGACTTGGGAAGCTGGCAGGAAGTTGCCTTGCCTAATGAGCATGGGATTCTGTTAGTGACGGTAACTGGGACTGCAGGAGTTGCTGTTGCTAAGTGATGCTGTTGCACTTTACAACTGTATCGCTTAATGATGGAAATTCTGGCTCCAATTGCCGTTGTAAGTCGAGGACTACCAGTACCATTTTCCCCCTTCAGAAATGGGTAGAGAAAGATGGTGCTCTTCAGTGGTTCATCTGCAAGTCCAGCGGTTCTGTTGGTTCAGAGTTTGTGAGCATGGCCAGTGAGGAGTTGGATAATTCCTGGTGGAATGTTTGCCAGCCCGCCTCCCCCTCCAATAGCTGCATTCTGTCTGTCAGATTCCACTGGCTATTTGCTCAGCTCCAACTCTCCAATGTCTTGTTTTTGTTCTCAGCCTCAAGCCTTGATTCCTGGTCCTCCTTTGGGGTCTCCTCTCCAGATAGTCAGGTTGTCAGCAGCCTGCAGGCTTTAGTTGCAGAATGTGTGCATGGCCGGAATTATTGTCGACAGACCCTCTACCTTTATGAACTCTCCAAAGTATGTACCTTGGTGTCTGAATCAGGGTGGGGTGAAGGATAGGCAGCCATCATGCTGTCAAGCGGGAAGGCAAGAGGTCTGACTCTTCTCTCCCCATGACACTCTGCAGGAGCTTGGCTGTTCCTTCAATGAGATCGCTGTCCACGATTCTGAGAAGCTGCTTCGGGTGATCCTGTCCTCACAGCAGCCAGGCTGGTACAAGAAGGCCCAGGCCTTCATCACCAATCAGGGGCTGGAGCCAGAGGCGGTGGCTGAGCTTGTGGCAGAAGAAATCATGCAAGAGTTGCTGGTACCTTCTCAGGAAAGAAGCCGTAAGTCCACTTCTGCTTCTCCTTGGGAACACAAGGGGGGTTGTGAGAGTCTGGCTCCCTGGAATCTGGCTTACATCTTGTCTTTTCTCGCTTTTGCTCTGCGTTTGCTGTGATTCTCAAGCCTTTTTAACCATTAAGTGCTGTCATGACTGTAGCTTGTATATAACATTATTTAATCAAACTGGGTCATGCTATGGAAGGAATATAATTCCTAGGATTGGACCAGAGGGGAGATGCTGCCTGTCCACCTAACCTGTGAAGAGTTGAATGTGCAATTAAAATTATGTGCATTGTTTTTATTATATTTTAATTAGTATTTATTCTTGTTTTATTATAAACCGCCCAGAGTGAGATGGATGGTGATTAAATTTGAAATATAAATAAATAAAGAGAATATTTATTTTATGTTCAGAGCAAAACCCAGTTCTGAATCCAGCAGAGGAGAGCCAGAGGTTCCTGCAACTGGCCAAGCTTTGCCAGGACCACACACTTGTTGGCATGAAGCTGCTGGACAAAGTTTCCTCTGTGCCACATGGGGAGCTTGCCTGCAGTAAGTTAACGGTGGACAGAAAAAGGGTCCTTGTGGGGTCGGAGTTTAAGTACCTATAAGGACTTTTGGCTAAGACTGAAATCCAACACATGTATACTTCGGCAAAGATCTCATGAGGATCTGTTGGCCAGGGGAATATGGCTACCATTGGGCTTTGGCCATGTCCTCATACCATGTCTCTTGTTCACTCTTTTTGCATAGTCTGTATTGGCACAACATGGTGGCACATATTGAAAATGTGCCACCGTGATCATGGGGATCAAATGTGTCTTCTCCATGGAGGCCATTGCTCACATACTGTTGTTCTTCATACAAGTTTGTCTTGGGAGCTTGGGGGTTTCTTGCTAGAGCTCTTTAGTGATGTGCAAATGTTTCCAAGAGGAACAAAGTGGTAGGTAGGTGTCTGCCGCTAGGAAAAACTGGCTTTGTCCTCAAAACACCTGGAAGTTATTGTTCTCATTTAGCGAATGATGATCAAGCTGTCGTTCTCTCCTTTGGACAACATTTGCTTTCTTTTAGATCAGGGTGGGAACTCTGATCCTCCAGTTGGCTGAAATTTGAAATTTGAAAGTTGGCATCTCTTATTGTCCTTGTTGACTGAAATTGCTGGGAGTTGTAGTTTAGTAGCATGTGGGAGGGCACCAGGGTTAGTGTACAGCAATACAAGGGTTTGTTTATGGAAGTCCCTCTCCTTCCTTAGCTACGGAACTGCTGATTCTGGCCCATAACTGTTTCAGCTTGACTTGTCACATGGAAGGGATTACTCGTGTCCTGCAAGCTGCCCGGCTGCTCACAGATGAACATTTGGCACCAAATGAAGAGTATGGTCTTGTGGTAAGTAACTCTTCTGAGAATATGGATTGGCTGCAGTTGCTGTGTCCCTCCCCTGGCCTTAAAAATTTTAGAACAGGCTGTTGTGGAGCAGACACATACCCCTCCCAGTCAACAGAAGGAAAGTAATTGCAAGGTATTCTGTGCTCTTACCTGAAGGCTGCAACTTCTTTTAATTCAAAGGGAGTGGCAGGCCAGTGTCCTCGTCTGGCCTTAATATCTGCTAATTCTCGGCTTCTAAATGGAGGGTGGTCTTGACTGGGAGAGCTCTGAAATGGCTGGGTTTCAGGAAGTGGCAGATACTCCACAGACATAGTTATGCTCCATGGAAGGAGTGGAGTTCTTGTGAATGTTTTGGCAGTCATGCTGGATGGGGCATTTCAGCCTCACTAACATGAAGGTTCTTCTCTCCCCAAAGGTTCGACTTCTCACTGGCATCGGCAGATACAATGAGATGACGTACATCTTTGACCTGCTGCATGAAAAACATTACTTTGAGGTGCTCATGAGAAAGAAATTGGACCCAGTAGGTATTATAGATAAGATCAGCCTTCCCCAATCCACTATTTATTTGGTACAGATGCAGTGTGTTCTGAGGTTGGGGAGAGGCTCTCCCTTCCTCTTATTCCAAGGAGAGTCAAGGTGGGGCAGTTTTGAGTTTCTTCCTCACCCCATCCTGTCCTTCCAGGCTATCTTCAAAAAGTGAAGAGGAGGATCCAGGGAACTAGTGACCAGTCAGTCTGGCATTTGTATCGAGCAGGATTCTAGAGCAGATCATAAAGGTGTAAGGGCTTAAAAACAATGACGTCATTACCAGAAATCAACATGGATTTGTTAAGAACAAGTCCTGTCAAACTAACCTCCCCCAATTTTTTATTAGGTCCATTGTATACATGATATAGCTTTGTAGCAGGAAAGTGTTGGGCTTGTAGAAAGATTGGAGGACTCCACCTCCTCTTTCAGAAGTCCTCTGGAACCCCCATCCTACCACCATCAGCCCTTTCTTCCTGCCATGGTACAGTGGATTACTGGAAAGTAATAGGGAAATGATGATGATAATTTATTAGATTTATATCCTGCTTTTATTTTGTATAATTCTGGGCAGGATACATAATTCTCCCTCCTCCTGTTTTCCTAATAACAAGAATAGTTTTTACTTCTGTAGCCCCAATTCCTGGCCTTGTCGCTTTGACTATGACTTGGGAAAGCAGGCCTCTCCTCCTCTTTCACAACATGATCAACTATACACAGCATTATTAATTTAAACTTTATTTTAGGAAGGGGAAAGAGAACAGAAACTATTTTGGAACTTTGGGGATGTTTAGCATGCAAAATGTTAAATGGCAAAGGACATAGAAGCCTAAAATATAAACAGAAGTTTAAAATTCTGAGAAAAACATGAGATGGAATTGATTGCTAATACCATAATCAAGGAAAGTTTTACTGCCTAGAGTTTCCAAGTATTTCAAAGTGTGTTGCCATGAAGAAAGCCAAGGCCTGTTTTTTATCATCCCAAAGTGCAGGATGTGGAATGTTGGATTTAAGTAAAAGGAAGGTAGATTCAGAATCAGTGTTAGAAAAAAATTCCTATTGTAAGACCAGTTCAGCAGTGGAGCCCCTGATCTGGAGTGAGCCCCTGTTCAGGGGACATCTTCAAGCTCACAGCCATTGATTGGGGATGCGCTGAGTAGGCAGTTGGGACGTGATAGCTTCCGTCTCTGGGATTCTGCCATTGTGAAAGATGTCTCTTGACTGGTGGAGGTGGAGGCAGCTTGGCATTGTGGGGTAGTGCCAGTTCCCCTTCTGCTGCATCTGTCCCCTTCCCTCTGGCAGAGTGGGACTCTCAAGACGGCCCTGCTAGACTACATCAAGCGTTGCCGCCCAGGAGACAGTGAGAAGCATAACATGATTGCACTCTGCTTCAGCATGTGCCGGGAGATCGGGGAGAACCATGAGGCTGCAGCCAAGATCCAGCTGAAGCTCATTGAATCTCAGCCGTGGGGTAAGTACTCATCTGCCCAGGTAAATCCTCTCTGGAGGAAGCTCTTGATGGATGGAGGAGACTGCACTCAAGTGATCCATCGGGCTGGGCTTGTCAAGGCTTTCTTGTGCCTGCTTGATTTTCATCTTGTGTCTCCTGAGGAAGCAAAGCACTATACGTGCCCACCTCCTCTCTTTCTTTCCCTCAAGCTTTGAGGAATTTTAGAAATATGGCTGGCAGGTGTCTGATACCAGCAAAATGGGCAGTCTAGACCCCCTGCTGGGTTACCAAGAGCCAGACACTACTCAGCAACTAGTTGAAGTGTTCTCTAAGATAGTCGGCAAGCTATGGTAGATGAGTGTTGCTGAACTACAACTCCCGGGCAGAAGGCCCAGGGAGGAGGATGTTGGGAGCTGCATTTCACAGACCAGTGAAGAGCCATGGACCTGGCTGTGCTGGGCTTTGGTGTCCTCTGCAGGCGTCTAGATAGCAGATCCACACGTGAAGCTGCCTCTTGACTGCTGCTGGGAATGCTGGTGTCTTCTAATCCTGTGCAAGACATTGTCCTTCAGAGGAGGCTTAGTAGCTCGGACTCAGGAGACCAGGAAAAGGTGGTGGTTGCTTTGATGCCAGCAGCTCTCCGGAGCCTGGTCATATTAAATAATCCTGTGCAAACTGGATTTTCCCATTGCCATTCCAGGGGATGGAACTGGAGAGAAACTGAGGTTCCTTCTGTTTTGAATTTCAAGGATGGATGTGGTGCAGCAGTCTTCTCTACTAGGGAGTGTTCAGTCCTGAGCTTTCCAAGCCAAGAACTTCGTAGTTGTATCCTCTGTTAAGCAGTGGTTAGACTTCACAATCCCCCAGATTTCTTCTAACTTCATGAGCATATTCTCATCCAATTAGATGTCGTAGCAGGACTATCTGTTCCTAGGGTGTTCACCTTGCACCTGCTCCAGTGGGAGAGAGAGAGATTGGCTGCATGTATACAAAGCAGTTTGGAGGAGATGGCCGTTGTTATTTGGGCTTTGTTAAATGTCCCTGGTTCAGTTTTTGATCACTTGCTGCCACCTCACTCCTCTCTCTCCTCTCCCTGTGCTTTTTCATCCCACGATCCTTGGTGGGATTGCCATGATGGTCCAGGCAGTCAGCTGCTCTCTTCCTTCTAGAGGAGAGCCTCCGGAATGTGCCAGGCTTGAAGAAGCTCCTGATCAAAGCCCTCACCCTCTTCCTAGATGCTGCAGAGAGCTATTCCAAGGTAAGATGGAGAATAAGAATGTGCATGGCCCTTGTGGGTCCTCTGTAGTCCCTGTGATCTCAGATGTGTGACCTGTTTCAAAGGATTCAGTCTTGCTTCCATTTTCAGTATCTTATCTAGGAATTCCTTTCATTTCTTCCTTGAGAAAAAAAATAGAAAATTTCAATGATTTATTTAAGGAGAGTCCTTTGGATTGGCTTGTCTTTGCAGACCGTCTCTCACTTACCTATTCTCCACTTGCTTCACTGCCACCGTCTCCCTTCCATCTGTGTTGATTTTTTCCTTGTCACTCTGGTGAGACCTCCTTGGAAACGTGCCCCTTGCCGCCTCCCCTGTTTCAGCATTTTGCCTCAGGCGCTCTCTGATGGGCAGCACTTGCTGAGGCCTGTGAGGATGGCGATTCCATGGCAGAATCACAGGGAAACCCTCTCTGCCATCTACAGCAGCCTCCTCCCTCCCCTTCTAATGGCATCTAGTAGCTCGTTTCCTTCTTTTTCCTGTTTTCTTTCTTGTTTTTCCAACTCCAGTTTCCACCTCTCTTCATGCAACCAAAGCCTGTGTCCTACTAGAAATTAGGTCCCAGTTGTCCATACACTTTCCTGGAACATTCTCCCTTCTCTGTACTTGGGATAAAGTTTCCTTCCTTCATTCTGTTTGCTCCTATGTTATTAACAGATCACAAGAAAGAAGTCTTATTTATTTAAACAATTTAGATAGCGACCCATCTCCCAGCAGTGATTCCAGGCAGCGAACAGAGGGTCCAAACCAAGGACAGCAACACAATTTACAAAAATAAACACTCCCAAATCCTCTTCCTGTGCAAAGTGACAATGAAGGAATTAGAAATATTTAGCTTGGCAAAGACCGATTGCACTCTTCTAATACCTGAAGGATGTCTGCCCTCTGATGTGGGGTTCCCCGGAGAGCCAGATGGCCCCCACTCTGCTGTTGTCAAGAAGAGCCACAAGGACCAGACTCTTCCCAGGCCTTTGGTGAAAGATTGAGAGAGGTGCCCTTTCCTTCATTCCTGTCTAGCTTGACATTCTTTCATTCTTGCCATCTTTTATCTTTTATGTTTTATTGGTTTTATTGTAATTTGTTTGTTGTGAGCCTGGCAGCATTTTTTTTATTTTTATTTTTATTATTATTATTATTACTACTACTACTACTACTACTACTACTACTACTACTACTACATACAGAAGGTTCTCTCTCTTATCCTGAGAATGGGATATAGACTTAACAGATTTAAATTATAGGCAGTGTATTCTGCCTGAGTGATAGAAAAAACTCAGAACAATTCAGCAGTGCAACTACTTAAGTAGCGGTATGTTGGGCTGCCTTTCATTGGGTATGTTTGAGATGGATAAAGGCAGGACAACTGCCCTTAAAGACCTCCAGAATTGGAATTCCTGCTTGGAGCAGGGAAGCGAGCCTAAGAAATGCCTTCCAACTATAAAATTCTACCATCGTACACCCCATGCTCCTTCTCTTGCCTTGTTGCTAGCCAAGCTCTGAAGCTTCCATTTTTCCTCACATAATGAACTTAACAGTATAATATTTCAGCAAACCAAGCACTAGTAGTGTCACCTGTGATTTGCCAGGAATCCTGCTCAGATGTTTTAGGATTTGAAGGGTGGAGGGCATGTGACAATGTTGATGTTTCCATTCTGGTTTTGGTCTGGAAAGAAACAGGAAAGACAGTTGCTCCAGTTGTTTCCTTCTTGCTTTGCCTGATGCGTTCCTGCTCCTCTGTTTAGGACTTCTGTGTGTGCCAGTCTTTGCGCTGCAAGAGGTTGATCAGACTCATTACTCTGCAGCTCCACTTCCTGACTACTCACCACAGCACCAAGCTGATTAACCTGAGCAGGAAGAGCTTGCTGCCGTGTATCCTGGCGCTGCCCAGGTTCTACCAGGTGAGGAGGGCCTTCACCCTTTAGAAGAGATGGTTTGGTTTGTCTTTAAAAGTATTAGAAGAAAAATACCAAATTAGAAACCTGATCTTTTTCTTATCATATGCCCAAGCATGTACAAGTAGTCCTTGCTTACTGACCACTCGTTTAGCAACCATTCAAAGTTGCAATGGTGCTGAACAAGTGGTACTTACGACCGGTCCTCAGAGTTGTGGCCATCGCAGTGTCCCCACGGTCATGTGATCATGATTTGGGCGCTTGGCAGCCAGCTTGTACTTACAAGAGCTGCAGCATCCTTGGTCACGTGATCACCATTTGCGACCTTCCCTGCCGGCTTCCCCCAAGCAAGGTCAATGGGAAGCTGGCGAGGAAGATTGCAGGTCGCTCTGATAAGTCCCCAGCCTTCCTGTGCTTGTGCATGGCCTGTGCCAAGCCTTGCAAACCCTCCCCCGGCCTCCCCCAATTCACATGCAGCTTGCGCTGGCCCTCCCAGGACCTCCCCTGGCCTTTCCCACCTCCCCGCAGCCCCCCCCCCACTCCTTACCTGGGACTCCTGCTGCTTCCCGCTTAAACACCTGCGTGTCTCAGGGTTATAATGGCAACCAGGACTGCCTGGGATTGCCGTTGCTAAGCGATGTGGTCAAGTGACATCGCGCTTTATGATTGCATCGCTTAGCGATGGCAATCCTGACCCCAATTGCCGCTGTAACCTGAGGGCTATCTGTACTTCTTATTTATTAATAGCATTTATGGCATTTTTCAGTGTTGTATAATGTATAAAACCATCTAAAAAACCCAAAATCTGTAGCTGGGTAGTATTTGTCTAAAAAGCAGCCAAAACAGCACACAACTGTGTACGTTTTGTAGTCCTCCCAGTGAGGTGTTGCAAAAACCAGATAGGATGAAGGAAGCCGGATTTGCTTTGCAGTTCAGAGTCAGTCTCAAAGGAAGAGTGTGGACGGTAAGTGTGACTGGGATCACGTTGCAGCTGGCATCGGGGACAGTGGCGATTACTGCCGCGGTTGCGCTGAGAACGCAAAGAAGAGGAATTAAGAAACACGACCAGCTTATATTGGCAGGAGCGTCCTTTATGTAAGGTTTGCCCCGTTCGACAGAGAAACTCTCGTGACACGTGTGGTTCACAAAG